GATCTCGGCAGCCCCTCTCTAGCCTTCCTCATTTCCCTTCCACCTTTACCCTCTCTCTCCTGTCTCCCTCCTTCTCTTCTCCCCCATTCCTCTCCCACCACCCGCTCTTCCCCCTTCCCCATTCTTCCCCCTCTCTCACCCAACCCCCGATTCCCCCTTGCCCCCATATCCCCTGTGCCTCTCTGCAGATCCTGGACGTGCCCGCTCCGCCATCGGGCAACATCATCATCGAGAGCATCGAGGGCGACAACGGACGGCTGGGATTCGACCCCGCCACCAACTGCATCGGGATCGCCGCCCGCGCCACCATGGAGCTGCTCGGCCTCTACGGCCCGGACGGCAAGGGCACAGCATCCAAATCTGAATCAGGATCAAATCTTCCCGTGATCGGTCTGACTCTGAACAAGGGCTTGCCGTTGGGAAGCGGGCTGGGCTCGAGTGCTGCGAGTGCAGCAGCAGCAGCCGTGGCAGTGAACGCCCTCTTCGGCTCTCCTCTCTCCAAAGCACAGCTGGTACTGGCGGGGTTGCAATCCGAGGCCGCTGTGAGCGGTTACCACGCGGACAACGTTGCGCCGGCACTCATGGGTGGGTTTGTGCTCGTGCGGTCGTACCGGCCACTGCATCTCATCCCGCTCACATTCGGCGAGGGGAAGAAGCTCTTCTTTGTGGTGGTGACGCCAGCGTTTGAGGCGCCCACCAAGGAGATGAGGGCAGCCCTGCCTAAGGAGGTGAGAGCTCCCCAATATGACATGCTGTGATATAGAAGCTGGCCTGTCCTGGCCAGGGTATGATGGGTTGTGGTGCCGCTGCACGGGAGATTCTGGATTTGTCTCTCACATCTCTTGGTTTTGTCATCTGCCATGGTGTGGTGTGAGCCGTGTGGTATTACATGGCACGGCATGTGAGCAGATCACGATGGCATCACATGTGGCCAACAGCAGCCAGGCAGCGGCTCTCATTCATGCCATCCACACGGGCGATGCTCGCCTGCTCGGTGCTGCCCTCGGTAAGTGCTCTCTCTCGTTTCCCTCTCCTCTTCTCCTCCATCTTACATCTACGGTGCCGAACCTTCGCATCAGCAAACATGTTTTTTTTTTCTGGACACTTGGAGCAACACTCACCATCTTTTCCTCCCTCTCTTCCATCCTCCTTACAAGCAGCTTCGGATACAATAGTGGAGCCACGACGCTCGCCTCTCATTCCCGGCATGTCAGCAGTGAAGGTGGCAGCCAAGGCAGCGGGGGCACATGGGTGCACTATCAGTGGAGCAGGGCCAACTGCTGTAGCAGTGGTGGACAGTGAGGAGGTGGGTCGGGCTGTTGGAGCAGCCATGGTTGAGGCGTTTCAAGAGCAGGGCAAGCTGCATGCTAAGGCTACTGTGGCTGCCCTTGATGCTGTTGGTGGGAGAGTAGTGTAGAGAATGATTCTGAATGGCCTAGGAGGACACATTCACTGCTTCTGCAGCTAGATTCAGCATATGTTCCTTCCTGGTGCATGCCTCCACATTTAGTGTATCGCAAGACACAGTCGCTAGATTTACCTATCCGTTCCAGGGCAGCATAGAGCACACATTGAGAGCCTGCTTTGCATTTGTTACGGACTGACTGACAGAATACCCTCGTGGAGAGCACTAACTGACTAAAGCACGAATACACCAACGCCAATGTGGGACGGAAACAATATGCACATGTTGGTAAGTTTCTCAGGCACATCAAAACAAAAAATACCTAGGCTAAGCCCAAGGACGTCATTAAAACATAAAGCAGAAACCCTAGTTGCGTAAATATCGGCGAATAAGTAGACAAGCAGGTCATGAATCACCTTTAAAAAATAACCGTGAATAGACCCCTAGGCCTTGAAGGGAATGACCTTGTTAACGATCTCGTCGCTGAGAGCGGACACCTGCGAGTCGAGGCTCTTGAGCGTCGACTGCTTCTGCGTCTCGAGGTTGGCCAGCGACGACTCGAGCTCCTTCTCGATGCGCGCGCGGTACGCCTGCAGCTTCGCGTCCAGCTCAGCAGCCACCTCCTTCTTCATCGCGTTCATTTGTCCTGACGCCTCGGCGCGAGCCGCCTTAATCAACGCCTCGGCCTGGCTCTGCAGGTCCTTGATCTCGCCGGAGTTGTCCCTGACACCGATGAGCTTCTTCCTGATTTCTTCGTCACGGGAATCCATAACGGTGGAGACGGGCTTGAACCAGATGGTATCGAGAGCAACCATGAGGAGGAGGAACTGGACGACGATGATGGGGAGGGTCAGGTTGAAGTCGAAGATCTTTCCCTTCTCCTCCTCGGCGAAAGCTGGCATGGCGATCATCGCATTCATCGCAATGATCGCAGCGTGGTGCATCTGCCTCGACGCCTTCTCGCCGAAGATACCCTCGACGACGGACGACGCAGCGGACGAGATTGTCGCATGGCTGGCGACGGTCTTGTTCTCCCTAGCGTCGCACACGAGCCTAGCGGCGCTAACGACTGAAGGAAGCTTCGCGGCGGAGCGAAGGCTCTTGCCGGAAACAAAGGACCTGTTCAGGTTAGACGCCATAGCGGAGGCAGCGACGGCAGCCATTGTTGTCTATGTGCAGAAACCGAAGCTACGACCTGAATGGCAGACTAGCGGGAGAGCAACAGCAGCAACTATGGCTACTGAAGTGGGAAAATGCGGCCTCGCGTGAAAATGAGTGCTCTGCTGTCCGTGCTGGTGGTGAGAGAGAGAGAGGGCGAGACGGAGAAGCAGCAGCAGACAGAGGCGGAGAGAATCAGAGACAAGATCGAGAGAGGGAAAAGCGGAAGGTTGGAAGAGTAGGCAGAGAGATTTGCCGCGGTGGAGAGAATTCGGGAGGATTTGGGATGAAGGGAGGGGTGTGGAGGGGCTGAGGGTGAGCGGTCGGGAGTGCCAGGTGTGGTGAGATTTTGAAAGGAAGATCGTAACCGTAAAGGTGGTATGCTTGAACACGATCGACGGTGCGTATGGTTTGGCGACGGCCATATGATGTGGGAAAGATGGGTGATGGGTGTGAGGCGGTGGTGTGGAGGGTTTGGATGGAATCTGCTGACGAAACCCTATCCACACGGAGCTCCACTGACCGCTGATTGATTGCCATTTGGCAACGCTTGTGCAGCTCGCCGCCACTTTCCACGACTTGCTTGGCACCCAGCGAGAGATGTCGAGATGGGGTTACCATAATTAGTTTACGGGAATATTGCATAAGATATGCTCGCACTTAAAAGGGAAAATATATAGACGTCCCGACTTTATTTTGTATCGGGTCTGTAAACAGACAAATCACACTTGTACCTGGCCGGCTCAGCGAGGATTTCTTGGGAAGTCACGACTCAGTCACGACGACGGAGCCAGCTGTCTGGTCAGCAGATGAACTCCCCGCCACAAACCAATCTCTTCGCACAAACCACTCTGTCCCTCGTGACCATGCATGACTCGTGCATGGCAGCGCACCCCCTGCCTCATCCAGCTGTCCGCTGCTTCGGCGACGTGTGTGTGGCAACTGTAATTGGCTAAAGTGAGGCCGAAGCAAGGATTAGCTTCAAGCAGGAGCTTTGGCGAAGTTGAACGGGTGTGCTTCCCTGGTTTGGGCCGAACTTGGCGAGGCTCGTTTCCTGTGGCGAATGTCAACACAACAACCAGGCGCGCAGCGCAATGATGTGATGTGAGTGAGTGAAGTGTACTCACGCACGGACGATCATCATCATCACCAGCATGGGGGCGAGTTTACTGCAGCGCTGCTCGCAGCAAAAATCTCATGGGCAGACCAAGCACGAGTGCCAGGGCTAGGTTGTGTGTTCCATACTGTAATCCATTCCTGCGCCATCACCACTGCATGCTTGCTTGCCTCCTCTGCCTCTTCTGTTCTTGTCTTTAGCCAGCACGTGTGGGCTAATCTCTTTAGCCTCCTTTCGGTCTTCGACCTCGTGGAGAGAAGTGGAATGGGACGAGCGCCAATCCATTTTCCGCTGCACACTTCTCAACAAATCTCCTTCGCGAGATCTCCGCAGTTGCCTGCGCATGAAAGTTAGTACACATGGTAACTGGTCCGTTCGTTTCGTCATGACGCCTGCGCATGAGTAGCTCATCAGTTCATCGTAGCGCATGCCACGAATATTGCGGTCCAGTTTGAGTTATCGGCCTAACACGCTGAGTGCGCTCGAATTCTGCCTTAGGTCGTTTCGCCGCGCGCTACCCGTGGCGCGTCCAGGGCAGACGCCAGCATGGCAGGCGAACCCATTCGCTGGGCCGAGATCGACGCCTTCGCGGGCGGCGGCGGTTGCGGCGACGTTTGCGGCGCTAGGCGGACTCTCAGTGCCAACGAGCATCCGCTAGGTAGTAGCAGATTACGCTCGCCGGCAGCCATGGTAGCCAGAAATCGCTGGACGGATTCTGAGACGCCAGACCCTCTGACGGATTCCGTGACGGATTCCGTCATGGAACGGGCCGGTCCTGGCTGGAAGCCGACGGGTCGGGTGCGGCGCGGCGGCGGCGGCGTGCAGCGGTCGCGCAGCGTGGAAGGCCCGGGGATGGCGACGGATCGCGAGTTTGCAGACAACGGCGGCGGCGGCGGCGCCGGAAATATGCAGCGCCACGTGATGGTTAGAGCGGCTTCGCGCGATGACAGTTGGGAAGGTGAGAGGCGAGCAGAAAGGGCGAGGGGACCAGAGAGGGGAGTGGCAGAAGGAGCGAATTGAGTTGAAACGACGGTCGCACGACAAGCCTAGTATGGACCTCAATTCCGCGCCGGCCCACATTCTTTGCTTCCCTTTACTCCCCAATCATATCCCACGCCCAATAGAGTCACACTGCCTATGGATGCTCCCGCGCCGTCCGTGCCACCTGCATTGGTTTCCGCAGCAGGGTCAACCCACAAGCGCGGAAATGGCCCCCCATCGCCATGCGCCCCTGTCTTGCTACCTGGGGTGATTTACTCTACAAATACAGAATGTACCCCCGGTTCGCTTGGGCAGGGCGTTCCAATGCCAGTGCAGATCATGGGGAACGATATTAGCACCAACCATTCTGCCTCAATGGGTCAGTTTTCCCACGGGCCAACCAATCACGCTCCCATGCACCAGTCTTCATTCCGCTCCCCCCATTCCTCCGCTCACTCCTCCTCTTACTCCTCTCTCTCCATCCTCCCTCCCACCTCCTATACAGACGACCACACACTCCCCTCTCGGTCCGCCATTCCCTCGCAGGCCTCCTACTCCCCCACCTCCTCCACTCTCCATTCCTTCGCCTCCCCAGCTTGCGCCTCCCCCGTTTCCGCCTCCCCCACCTGCGCCTCCCCCACCGCCGCCTCCCCCATCTCCGCCACCCACGCTCCTCCCTTTCCCCCCACCAGGCCCAGGCCTGCCCGGCAACCTGCCCCGGGCTTTCATCGCAGGAGCAGTTCCCTTTCAGTGCTGACCGAGTATCTGCCCGGGGTGGCACCTGCAGCCTGCAACTCCCCCTGTAGCAGCACCACGCCAGCATACGCCCACCCCTCCACATCCACTGTTTCATCCCGGCCGTCAGCTGAGAAACCCCCAACGCCGCGTAAAGCCCCGGTGGCCCCCAGGTTTGCTCGCTCTCCTCAACAACCCTCTGCTGCTGTAGCTGGGAGCGGCTCCCCTGGTCTTCACCACGTGCAGCACATGCAGCACTCGCAGCACATGCAGCACTCGCAGCACATGCAGCACTCGCAGCACATGCAGCACTCGCAGCAGGTGCAGATGCAGCAGGTGGAGCAGGTGCGGCCTTCCAGAGAAAGCCTCACCAGTGGGCGACCCAGGACTCCATCCATGCACCGCTTCACCCCGTCGCTGCCTGAAATATCCGTGGCGGATGCAGTGGAGGAGGAAGGGAAGGGGAGTGAGGAGGGCGGTGACGGGAGTTTCTCAAGGAGCCCAGTGATGGTTGAGCTACCGTGGAGAGATGGGAATGGACGGCATGGTGCGCTGATGCAAGGTCGGAGGCACGGCATGCCAGGCCACGCTGGGAGGCTCGGGTCACCGATGCAGGCTGAGAGGCTCGGTTCACCAATGCAGACTGGGAAGCTTGGTTCGCCAACGCAGGCTCCCAGGCCCGGGGACATGACACAGGTTCGGAGATTCTCCCCAGGTGGTGGTGGTTTGACAGCTGGAGGTTCGGGCAAGGCCGGCGCAGAAATCAAGGTCTGGGAGACATCAGAAAGGGGTTTGTTGCAGGGGAAGGGCCGGTCTGTTTCTAATAGAGAGTCGGGTTATAGGAGTATGAGCAGCGATAATGTGCTGGGAGGCTGGAGTGACATTGAGGCAGATGCTGAGTGGGTGGCGGTGGGAGGGAAACAGGCGAACGCAAGGGAGGTTGTGGAGGGGAATGATGGCAGTCCTAGTCCTAGCAGCAAGGGGGGTATCAAGGGTGATACTGCATTGCATGAGGATGTGAGGGGTGGCAGTGTCAGGGGGCAGGAGGAGGGTGTGAGGAGCACTAGGAGTGTGTTGAAGAAGATGCTGTGGAGATTCAAGTCAGGTCCCGCTGGGCAGGCAGACGAGTCTTCTTCGGAAAAACTAGAGCAGCAGCAGCAGCAGCAGGAAGAGGGAGAGGAGAGGCAGGGGGGGGCGGAGCAGGAGAAGTGGGGCGGTCGCACAGTGCGTGTCTTTGCAGTAGCAGAGTGTTGACATGTAGGATCAAGGTCTTGATATTTTGCGGCTTCACTTAATGGGTTGTGGCTGGATATCTCGCCAGTGTTGGTTGTTTTGTAGAGTAGCATTACTTGCCGTACAGTAGCTGACAGGTGGCGTGCTTATCCATTTATATCCGCAGATAGTTAATCTGATATCGGCTTGAAGCTTGGCGATTGTTCTGCATTCCACAGCATATATTAGTATAGAGTACATGCACAAGGGGCTGCAGTGAAGGAGGCACGAGAAGTGCCCCTGAGACAGAAAGCCGTGCTACCAATGCACCTGTCTTGCCCCAGTATAACCTCTAATTAGATGTTCCTACAATCCCCCCTCAACCCCCTATTCTTGACGCCCACCACCACCACCCCCATACCCGTTGTGCCCCGTTCTAATTAGTGTCTCGTTCACAGCACACCAAGCAGCGAGATGCATGGCCAAGCCACACCTCATGTGACAATAGCCAGCCAGACCTCACATCGCTCCATCCACCTCCAGCAACCCCTCCGCCCCTTTCAGTCACACAAGCTGACAAACCCTCGGTTATTTCAGCCCCACAATGCACACTACCTGCTGCATGTGACTAAAGCGAAAGGCGGCCACGCCCCCCACTCCCAGCTTCCACCCTGCAACCAACTGCCCCTACAGTCACTGCAGGTGGTGCACCCACAGGTATTCCAGAACCATGGTGCACATCAACCAGGTCACAGTCGCTGGTGCTGCCGCAGGCACAGCAGAGCCATGGTGCACGCAGATACCGGTACTTGTGACTACAGAGAACGATGGTCCCAGCCCCCACCTGCAGCAACCCACCGCACTGCCCCATACAGTCACAGCAGGTGGTGCTCCCGCAGGTACTGCAGAGCCATGGTGCATGTCAGAAGACAGTGCACCCACCCCCCGGCAACCCACCGCCCCTTACAGTCACAGCAACTTGTGTTCCCGCAGGTACTGCAGAGCCATGGTGCATGTGACAACAGACGGCAGCAGCATGTCGCCGCCCAGCGCCAGCCTGTCAAGCTCCTGGGCGGGCAGGTGCAGCACCTGAATGAACTCCTCCGGGTCGCGTGGTAGCGGGGTGGGGTCGGGCAGCGGGTCGATGACGAGGAACGGTGTGAAGCGGTTCTTGCACCACTTCACCTCCAGAAGGCCCGGGTGGTCCTCAGGGATGAGTCTTACAAGCTGGCCGCCACGCAGACGCGCCTGGTGGTGGTAGGGGGTGAGACAGGGGTTGAGGGGATTGAGTTAGGGGGTGGGAGCGGGGTGGGGTCGGACAGCGGATCGATGACGAGGAACGTGTGAAGCGGTTCTTGCACCACTTCACCTCCAGAAGGCCCGGGTGGTCCTCGGGAATAAGGCGCACGAGCCGCCCGCTACGCAGACGCGCCTGGTGGCAGGGAGTGAGTTAGGGGTGGAACGAAGGGAGTCAGGGGTTGAGAGGAGCGAGTGAAGCCACAAGAGGGTGGTACGAGTAAAAATGCTGCTAGTGCTGGGACACAATGCTCTAGCGTCTGCATCCATTACATTGAGTCGCTCATTGGAAAACAATCTGGGATGCACATCGCCATGCAAGTTGGGATGCACATCGCCATGCAAGTTGGGATGCACATCGCCATGCAAGTTGGGATGCACGGGTGGTGCAGAGTGGCAGCTCACCTCCTCAGACAGCTCGCTTCTGACGCAATCCTCCAGCGATGCATGAGAGCTGCTGAGGCCCCCACACGGCACCGTGTACAGCAGACTGTTGGCGCCCTGCGGGGGTGACAGACGAGGAGTGCAGTGCAAGGCGGTGAGACGCGGTGGAGAAAAGAGGTAGCAACGGAGAATAGAACGTGCGCGAGTTGCTGAAGCTACCATAGGGCACCTGTGCGGTGGCGGAAAGAGTTGCGTCAGACGCGCACCTGAGCGTACTCCTTGAGGAGAGTGACGGACTGGGTGGCGGAGTGGAAGGGCAGCACGCAGATAAAGTGGCTGCTGGCGGACGACACAATGTCATACTCCACCACCTTCTGCCCGCGCCCCTGCCGCCCTCCGTGCTCCTGCTGCCACTGCTGCCCCTGCTGACCCTGGTGCTGCTGAAAAGAGGTGCTCTGCAGGCTGGGTCCTGCTGCACAGGCGGCCACGATCGGGCCCCTCGCACCAGACGCCCCGTAAGCAGCTCCGTTAGCTGCACGAGCTGCACCAGCTGCAGGAGTTCCAGCGGCATGCTGTGGCTCTTGCTGCGCGAGAGGCAGAGGCGGGTGCTGATGGAGCGACACAGGTTGAAAGAAGGGGGGAGAGAAATGGAAGGGGGACGGTGTGAGGGGAACGAGGAGTACGTGACTACGGATTGAAGGAAAAAAACAGGAGGGTGAAGGAACGAGTGCTGGGATACACTAGGCATTGGTTCAATACGCTAATCTATCACCTGCTCCCATGCCTCACCTCCACGACGCGGCTGTAGATCTTGAGGAAGCGAGAGAACTTAAGCTCCTCCTGGCACGAGCAAGAGGGGGCAATCAGAAGGAACGACGGCACTACAAGCATGAGCTTTCAGAAGGCAAGGACACATCCGATCTGTCCACTCAGTCACTTGATCGCTGCTGCCACGCTAAGTTTTGAGATCTTGATGTGCAGAAAGTATAGCTGCTCGCAGGGGAGCTGGCCTAAAGGCAGCTAGCATCAGGCAGAGTGATCGGTTCCTGGACTCAGAACTGACAGCATAGACATTCACAGATCCACGGGTTGTCATGCCCCAAGAATGAACGCACTGAGCATATACACGTCGGATAAGGACGAAGCACCGCATACCTTGATGATCTTGAAGCCGTGCTGAGGATCGCCGTCAGATCCTCCTCTCTCTTGCTCCTCGTGTTCCACCAATCGATTTTCCACCTCAACCTGCGCCTTTCCATTAACCGTTCCTCTCTCTCCTTCCGCCATTGATACTTTCTGCTCCTTTATCCGCAGATTTTTCTCTTCACGCGTCTCCTCCTTCACTCGCAGCTGCCCAGCCTTTCGCGCCAAAAGCCGGATCTTGTTCAGCATCTCGTTCTTCTGAATCCCCGTGTCATTCCCAATGGCAACCCCAGCAGCATCAACAGCACCAGCAGCACCAGCAGCAGTCAGCGCAGCAGGTGCATGTTTCCTCATACCACCAGTCAGCGTGATCCCCAGTTTTTCCAGCAGGTGAGAATCTTCCCCCAAAGTCTCAACAGAGAGGCAGTCCGTTGGTAGCAGCAGCGAGGCAGGCAAGGAAGGAGGTGCGAGAAGCGCAAGACCTTCCGTAGCCGCGTCCTCCTCTGAGAGAGACACGTGGGAAAAGGAGGGGTGGAGGGGAGGGGAAAGGTGGGGGAGTTTCAGATGCTCAAGTCAATTCGTGAAGTGACAGCATAGCAGTCATCGCGGATCCGCACTCCCGTTCACAACATGCATCAGCTCGTCATAGCATCACGTCAGCATACCGGCAAGCTCCCTTTCGATGGTTGCTGAGGCTTCTCGCCCTCCGTTTCCTGGGAATGCTCTCCGGAAAGTACTGCTGGCAGCGCCGTTGCTATGGAAAGAAGGGCTTGGTCGGCACGGCGATGACGGCTGGCATGGCGACGACTGTCGCGGGGGAACACCTAACGGCGGCTGCCGCTGTTGGAGGGAACATTGCGGTCGGGGAAGAGGCTGGAAGCTCCCTGGATGATTCTGACCGGCTGTGTTGAAGATGCGATGGGAATGACGACGAGTGGAGGTGACAGGGCTCGACGGGCGAGGCCGACTCACGAAACCTGAAAGGTGAACCGTGACGATTTGGGGGTAAAGAATCAATGTGAAAGGCTAATCATGGTGGTGCCTCAATAGAGCAAATCAGGACAAATCAAATACGTTTGAATGAAGACAGTGGGTTGGCAAAGGGCTCACTTGTTACTGACGCCATTGCATTCCCGAATTAAAGGGGGGTGCTGGTGCGCTACTCAGTTCTACCCCTTCAGACTTTCCTCGAAGTTCAGGATGAAATGACTAAGAGGAATATGCGCTGTTTCAGAAAGTGAGAATTTCTGCTGACAAATAGTTAGCTGAAGTTAGAAGAAGGCGTTCCAAGATTATCAATAAGTCAGAACTATCACAGAACTTCCCGCTTGTTTGGGAATCGACTACCTTGTGCAAACTGAGATCCACAATGGGATCATCCCGTAGGTGTAGTTTCGCCTGACAGTGGGATCCATTAGTTGCCTCTGACTGACTTCCCTGACGGTCTGCCTTCCCTTGCGAATTGGTTACCGAATTCAGGGATGAGCGAGGAAAAAGTGCTGCCACGCTGACAGACAGGGGGGGAGTAGACGGGAAAGCGGGAGTGGTGATCCAGCTGCTATTGGCCCAACAGTCGGAACTTCCAGAAAAGCTGGGGATTGACAAAAAAGGTTCTTTGAGGCTGGGCGGAAGTCTGTCTGACAGAGCAATTTTTGAATTTCCAGACCATGCTCTGTCGAAATATCGAAGCACTGTGATTGGCGTGTAAAGCTGGTTTGGGTAATAGCGAGCCAAGATCGTTGAAGGGTAACGCATCACAGCCACATCTCTTCTGGGGCTAGCTTGCGCAAAACTGATGTGGCTAGGCGCCACTGGAAGGCGCATTCACATTAGATCACACGATCACACTTTTGCTCCTCCTGCGAACCTGATCCACTGGCATGTCACATAGATCGAGCCTTGCAGGCTACGTGAACTCCAAGCCTCCATCCAGCCTCGACTTGACCCGAACGAATGAAGCTTTTCGCGAGACCCAAAAGCAAGCACAGTAGAAACCCTTTAGATAATCTCTCGTTATACAGGTACAAACAAACAAGAATCGGCTGATTTACTAAATGTTAGAAGCAGAACGAAAACAGAGCTACTGAGGCCCTCGATCCTTTCAACCCAGCTTCTTCGCACGCACATTCGCCCACCTGTGACGATAGGGGTTACTTGCGCAACTTGGCGGAGGAACGCCCTAACCTGAGATAATCTCCTCTCATCGCCGCACCAGAACAGGATCATCCCACACCCGCCGGTCGTTCCTCCACTCCGCGTCGCCTCACCGCCATTACCACGCTCCACGCCCCCGCATCTACCCTTCCCCCCTATCTTTAGCTCCTCATCCGCTTCGCGCACAACTATGGCGTCCGGTTTCGGCATCCACGGCGGTCGCGGCCGGTGCTACCCGGTGTGGCTCGACTTTTCCGAGTGCATGTCGCAATGTCAGGACCCGCGCGAGTGCGTGCCGTTTCGAGAAGACTACTTCGAATGCTTACACCATCGCAAGGAGGTGAGTTCCTCTGAGACGCTGGATCTCCTCCATAGGAACTATTTTTTCAGAGCTTCTGAAACCTGTGATGCAGAAGACGGCTAGCTTCGATGGCGCACGATCGGCAAAGGCTCACTTTATGGCCCCTTTTGTAAATAGAAATGTATTTACATTTTAGGGTTGCGCATTTCTTGGGCATGGCTGGGACCACTTGGTGAGAGTGCACACTGCCTTTGTAGCTCCTTTAAAATCAGTGCATGCGGCTTCATGTTACCTTACAGCTTCGTGTTACCTCACGCACCAGTCTGCATGTTCCCTCTGCCACCCCTCCCCAACCCCCTTACCCATTTCCTTTTTATCCCCACCCCACCTCCATCCCTGCGTTCCTGTGTGGGCCTTCCCTTGTTCAGTTCACGCGCATGAACGCTATTAGCAAGGAGAAGCAGAGGCAGTTGAAGGAGGGTGATCAACCGACCAGTGGAGGCAATCATGCAGCATCGGGTCATCATTGATCAAGCTCCTCATTATCTTTTGGGGGCTATGGTGCAGGTTACTTTGCTGTTGATATTTGAGGAAATATGGAGAAGCCACTAGGCTAGGATGTTTCTGTGTACTGGAAATGGCAGCAGACATTGAAAATTGTTGCAAATGCAACTTATTACTCACTGTCAGCAGTATACTACACTGCTAACTGAAGCCTACACTAAAGCACAAAATGTTCAGCAGCCAGCATTGGCAAGCAGCAGTTATCATAGACGTTAGTGCTAAGGTCCTACCATACCTGTAGTCAGTCTCCATCCCCACCTAAGCTATGGTCACAGCCCACCACCTACACCTTGCAGTGTGACCTGCAAAAATCCATTCCCCTCTTCCAGGATCGCCCACCCACAACCAGCACTACTGCCCTCTCGGCTTCCACTGTACTGTCCGCATCACTCCAAGTCCGTGGGCATATCTGGGTGCCCAAGATTCGCCAGGCCCCTAGCTGCTGTTCGTGGAGTCAACACAGCCAGCGGCACTCCCACAAGCCCTCCAACACCTCTCACTGCCGCTGTTGATCCTCTGGAATCGCCTGTTCCACCAACAGCAGCAGCTGCAGCCCCAGGGTATAACTGAACCAACCGCTGCTCCACACTAGCTGCCCGCTCACACAGTGAAAGTGTGGTGCTGATCCAAGAGCGTGTACACTTGATCTGCGATAAAACAAATGGGACGGGCAGGGTTAAGTAAGTATGGCATCCTAGTGTCTCGCTCGAACAGAACTGCACCAGTCAAAACACAATGCCTAGATTCGTCCTCACCTTTTCTTCAACAACTGGGAGAATCTCCTCAATTGCTTCCGCAACCTGAGCACTTGAGGCTTCCTCCTCTCCTCCAAGGCTCTCCTCCTCGTCTGACCCCTCCTCGTTGCTCTGCTCCATATCTTCCTCCTCAGCCTCCTCTAGCTTCTCCAGAGCCTCAATCTCCTGCAGCTGCTTCAACAGGTCCTCCTTGATCTCTCTCAGACCCTGTAAACGGAACCTCACAGACGCTAACGACTTATTCCTCCCTCCCCCAGCCTCTTGCTCCCCAGCTGCTGGCTCAACCCGCTTGCCTGATGCCCCTCCATCGCTCTTTCCCGCGTTCTCCTCCTCCTCCTCGCTCCCCTCACTCGTGCTCGCTTCGAATGCCCTGATGTCGAGCATGGACGCGAGATAGCATCGCTTCAAGCATGCCTTGACCTGCCTGGCGATCCGCACTGGCTTCTGGTCCGCGTTGCAGGTCTCTTGAGCGAAGATGACGTTCATACGTGACTCAAGAAACTCCTTAGTCAGCTCCACAGGACCCTCCACTCCCATACCCAAGTCCCCTCCCTGCTTGCCTGCTTCTCCGCTGGTCTGAACTTGCTCAGCAGTTGCGCCTTCACTAATGACCTGCTCTACTGTGTCCTTCGCCATTACCTTCAGACCACCCTGTCCCGCTTCTTCTGCTTCTCCCGCAGGCTTCGCACTAGCTTCTCCCGCTTGCTTCGAACTCGCTTTTCCCACCTGCACTGCTTCCTCGAGTCCCGCTTGCTTCGAACGAGCTTCTCCCGCTTTCGACCCTGCTTGCCTCGACCCCTTTCCAGCCTGTCCCGCTTCCTGCATCAGTGCGCAGCGCTGCACGCTCCACCCTCCGCGACCAGCGTGCCCTGGCGTCACGCCAGGCCTGACAGCCGCGCCAAGAGAAGGACGCCGTACGGCTGGGGTCAGGGACATTCGTCTCTTTTGAAACCAGGCAGCATCGTCTTCAAGGGGAGAAATTGCATCCACGCCCAAATTGTCCTCCAAAAAACGATTGATCTCTGCAATCCGTGAAACGCTGCCGGTCATGTTCTCCCAATAGCTGCGATTTGCAAGTTTCCGCTTCTTCGAGGTAGGTGTCAAGTGCTCCACACCTGCAGGACTCTGGCTCATCCTCTTCTTGAATCGTCGACTGCTCGGAGTCACCAGTTCCACTTGTCCAGCACCACCACCCTGGTCCCCGGTCGCCGGAGCCTCTTGAGAGAAACTAATGGCTGGCGCCGATGCCTCCACAGCAGCGTTAGCTGCGTCCACGTGGGAGGATGCAGGAGCGTCAAGAGCTTCAACGGCTGGAGTAGACGACGGAAGGATGGGAGCAGCAGGAGCAGCGATAGAGCTCAAAGGAACCGTACGATTTGCAGGGACTACGTTAGGCTTATCAGCTGGAGCCGGAGTCAGTCGAGACTGTTGATTCCTGTTGGAGCGAGGCAACTTGACTTTCTGATAACCAGCGTCCGGGTCAATATCTTCATCACCGTCTGTCTCTTTGGAAGAGGACTTAGAGGCCTTTGGAGCAGAAGCAGCCATAGAGGCAAACTGGACACTGTTATTCTCAGGAACCTCGTCAGGTGACGTCTCGCGAGAAGGTTGACTCACGTTCTTGCGAGGCAATTTGACCTTCTGATAAACAGAGTTCGGGTCAATATCTTCATCACCATCTGTCTCTTTGGATGAGGACTTAGAGGCCTTTGGAGCAGCCAGAGAGGCAAACTGTAGACTGTTATTTTCAGGAACCTCGTCAGGCAACGTCTCGCGAGAAGGTCGACTCAAGTTCTTGCGAGGCAATTTGACCTTCTGATAAACAGAGTTCGGGTCAATATCTTCATCACCATCTGTCTCTTTGGAAGAGGACTTAGAGGCCTTTGGAGCGGAAGCAGCTAGAGAGGCAAACTGTACACTGCTATTTTCAGGAACCTCGTCAGGCAACGTCTCGCGAGAAGGTCGACTTACGTTCTTGCGAGGCAAATTGACCTTCTGATAACCGTGGTCAAATCCTTCATCACCATCTGCATCAATCGGAAAGGTCTTAGAGGCTTTAGCTGTTAAAAAAGCCGATGCAGGAACTAAGGAATCCATAGGAATTTTAGGCTCAACAGAATCGACTTGGTATTCAGGAACTGCGTATGGATCGCTGGGAGGAACTGATGTTATCCCAGACGGTGGATTGCTAATGCGAGGCACCTTAAGCTTTCAATGCGCCGAGTCTACTATATTCTGTCATGAGATAGCTGCTGCATTCACTTACTCGGACATGGCTAGCGGATTATTAGCGAGAGATGGATGTGGAAACTGGGAAAAGCAGCACCAGAAGCTGAAAATAATTTACACTAATGTCAAAGGAGAAAGCAACCTAAAAGCTCTGAGAGGAAAGCTGCAACAAAGACTTGACGGCTCCCCCCCGAGTCGACGAAGCAATCGTAGTAACTGCTAGTGGGAGCACTTAAACTATCTGCAGCTTCAGGAACCGAGATGAAGTAAGAACGCGGTGTTGGCGAGGACGTCAGTGTGGCTAACTCACTGAGACGGAATGGAGAGCTCAAGAAGTCAGGTCTGAAAAATGGAAGCAATACTCTCAAATCATTAACTGAAGAAGCGACTAAGCTGGGGCTGTGAAGGAATGGAGAGTGGATCTGCGTGGTGTTCAGCAAGGCAAGATGGAGCAGCAGCTGTAATGCTGAAGCTGGGGTGAAGGCAGAGAGATAACTTCGAGCTCATAGAGAAATGTTCAGGGAAAAGTGGCTTTACCGAGGGAGGCATGCGTTACAGTCCGTCTGACAGGTGACAGACCTCGTTCAGAGCAGATTCTTGGCGCGAAGCTGGAGTCAGTCTGTCAGGCGTGGGTTACTCATCGATCTGACGAAATCGTTTTCGCTAGTGCAAATGGCCCATCATTTGCGAAACTTGAATTTCGCTCAAATTAATCAGCCCCATTTGCCTGCAATCCCCCAAGCCCTCTCACGCCCCTGCCCCCAATTCCCCACCCCACCCTCCCCTCTTCTCTCCCAAATCTCCCCTCTTCTCTCCCAAATCTCCCCTCTTCTCTCCCAAATCTCCCCTCTTCTATTCTCCTCAACCCCTCCCCTCCCCCATAAGCCAGAAAACGGAGATCGTCTTGCTGACGATTTTCCAGGTCATCGCCCTCCCCTTAGACATTAGCAAATTTTTCCTTGATCAGGGGAGCAGGATCCGCGTAATGAACCTTGCATTACGCATTCTTGAGTAATGTGGTCTTTTGAGCCATCACGAGGCTGGCGCGTTCGATGCTCTAGCAGTTGAATGTTCGTAATTAGGATGGGTCAGTCAAAGAAGGGAGGATCTGCAGGCACTTCACAGCAAAGAACACTTCCATCGACTTGCGGAGTCGGAGCGCCGTCTAGCGTTCAAGCGCGCAATAGCATTCCAAATTCGAACCTTTGCGGAGATGAATCCCGGGTAGAGAGCGCCATGGATGGATCTCCCAGCATGATTCCGTACTTGCGACGATCAACACGAGATTTTAGAGCGAGAAGAAGGTCGAAAGGTGTCCCTCTGATAAGAACTGGCCAAGCAAGCTACAGCAACGCTGATTGCCGTAACGGAGAACGAGGCATAGCGCAATTTGTGGCAAGCGTCAACCATCACCCAGCAACGTCCACCCTTACACTCACCCCTCCTCCGCCTGTTCCTGAGCCTGTTAATTCGCGTAAAATAGCATCTGCAGCACCTCCTGAAGCTCCAGTGAGGGGTCCGAAGTGGTCTGGGGGAGTTCGAGGCGGTGCAGGCAGAGTGGAGTTGCGATGGTGGGAGAATTTCATGGCAGGAGCGTCGGCGTCGCTGATTTCCAAAACCATTCTGCAGCCGTTCGACACCACGCGCACCATCCTGCAAGTGAGTCAGGGCAGCAATGGATTGTGGAATGTAGGGATATGTATGAATGGGTGTAACAATCCATCTTGATTCAGCATCCTTTCCCTGCTGCGTAATCCCACTGGCATTGTCTCTCTATATAACTACCCACTGGTCTTTATCATGCTTAATTCGCATTCTGAACAGGCCTCCAAGAAGATTCGTGGAAACTACAACAATCTCTGGGCGTGTGCCACAGGAATCGTATGCACAAAGGGCTTCCCTGCCCTCTACACCGGATTGGTGGTGTCAATTGCAGTTTCCGCTCCTTCCTCCGCCATCTTCCTCACAGCCTATGAGCAGGCCAAGCGGGCAGCTGAAGATACCATAAACGCTCTCACAGGTTTTCGTCCATTGAATCCAAGAGAGAGAGGCAGCAGAAATGGAGTGCTCAGAGAATCACTGCCAGGGTTGAGTGTTGGTTCTGGGGAATGGCATGTTGATGGTTGGTGGAATGAGGAGAGACGAGCACGGGTGCGATCGGTGCTGCTGCCTGCAGCCCCAGCCCTGGCAGCAGTGGCCGGGAATGTGGTGTCCAGCCTGGTGCGGGTGCCGCCAGAGGTGGTGAAGCAGCGAGTGCAGGCAGGGCAGTTTTCTGGGCTCCTTGCTGCCGTCACCAGCATGTGGAGGGCGGAAGGGCTGCCTGGGTTCTACACTGGATACTCCACCATGGTAGGTGGGTGCGCCTTGAGTTCAATAAGGTCTGGGCTTCTGTATGGGTGAGAGGGTGTCTTTTTGAGGAAGCGGAAACGTTCGCATGGGTAGGGCATGTGTGCAGGCTCCCCTATCTAGCACCTTCAAGTACTAAGATCCCTTGTGTTGTGTGTCACACATTTCTATGCTTGCAGGTGGCTCGGGACATTCCCTATGCAGCCATTCAGTTCACGACCTTTGAGACGCTCAAGCTCAGGCGAGAGAGAATCCTTGCAGCACGCGCTCTGACCTCCAGTGACGCCAGCAAAGGAGTCTCCACAGGTTTGCCAGGTTCAGCGGGCTCAGCAGGGCACGGGAGCAAGTCTTTGGCAGCTCGCCAGTTGTCGCAAGGCGAAATGATTCTCAGCAACATGTGGATTGGAGCTGTGAGTGAATGCGTTTGAACTGTGTTGGCTATTCTGATCATTTATTCTCGTGCTCACTCATGTTGTGGGAAAGGCCATTTTTTACTAACCTTTTTCGTGTGTTCCTCACACATCAGATGGCAGGGGCCATGGCCACCATATTCACTTCCCCCTTAGACGTTCTCAAGACACGGGTCATGACTCAGGAGGTTTTACCAGGTCAAGCATACCTAGGCACCAGACAAATGCTTGGAAAAGTATGGGCTGAAGAGGTAATGGTATAAGACGTTTATATAGGCATTATATTCCCTGCAGTTTTCACTTGTGTTGTCATTCTCTTCTCTCCTGTGGTTCATGGTTCCGTTCATGCATTGTTGGCAGGGAATTGTGGCATTTGGCCGAGGAATGACACCAAGGTTGCTCTACAAGGTAAGCATGTATATTAGGTACACAGCCAACCTAATGATCTGGCTTACACTGGTGCTCACACGCATACCCTTGTGTGCAGGTTCCATCGTCTGCTGTTTTCTTGGTTAGCTATGAAGCAGTGCGGCGGATTCTGGTTACGGCACGACACACAACCGTGCGATAAAAATAGGTTTGGGGTTCAAGTTGGTAGAAATAGTGGTCCTAAAGTAGCTGTGCGCTGTGGGACTGTCCATAAAAAATATTTAGTGGTGGCATGAATGCAAGCTATGTTGTAGTTGTTTTTCTGTTTGATCATGGTTTTACTTGATTGTTCACCCTGAAATTTCTACTTCCCTAACAAAACAGAAAACCGATTTATCCCATAACGAAACAGGATGCCGTTTCCTTCTGGTTGTCGCCTCCACTAAGTTTCATGTGCGGAGGGACAGGGGGGCTGGTTTGCTTTGCATTCACGGCAGTCCATTTTCGTTTTCACATTCCAATTTCTGTGCGTCTTTCCTTCGAAAATGGCGGCAACCATCGAGGCTAGTCCAGACTTTCCACTTAGCGTCTCTTTCAGAGCTGCGTCTGGTGAGTGGGTCACCTTATGCTCGTGTGAATTGATTGTGTGGATAATCGTGAAACTTTGTCAGGTGCTGCTGTTTCTGCCCCATCACGAGCAAGTATAGACCGTGTACGGGCCTTGTTCGGAGAAGCATCCGCGGCACCGCTTTCATTGCCTGCTCATTGGCAAGACTTTCTTGCACGTCCAGCACGAGCCATCGTATGTCTTTTAGCTTGTCAATTGAGTCAGTTCATACTTTCGCATTTCTTACGGAGACTCGCCCTCTCAGGTGCACGGTCAAGACGTTACACCTGGGTTCGCTGTTTTCAGTGATAACAGCGCGCTTTCTGATCCAAGACAAGTTGAGGAGTAACTTAGAACTGCGTGGCTCCGATATAGAATCGACGTTCAAAGTTTCTTACATTGCCAATAAACAGCTGTCGCTCACCGCCTCATGTCATTATTCCAAACATATATTTATATAAAATTCTCCGTGCACGGTTTCCATCGTTATGCTGGAGTGGTTTGGTCGGATTAAGACGTCTTATATCTTGCAGGTTGTTCCATCCACATGTCATTTGTGGCAGATATTGCAGGTCGACTTCTTCCAGGATTGCCTGATGACATTGCCATGTTATGTCTGGCAATGGTTCCGAAGGGCTACTGGGGTGTCCTGAAGTGTGTATCAAAAAGTTGGAGAGGCACGCTCAGCTCAGAAGAAATATGCACGTAAGTGAAGCATGCATTGTGACGCGATGCTGTTTTTTTCCTTGACGATTCCAGTTGGTGGCTGCCTTACTGTGTGCTACCACACTTGAGTGTACACGGCTTGGTCCCGTTGAGTCTTGGCAATGTCGTTCGTGTGTAGCCTGATCTCTTAAGTCTGATTGTGCATGCAGTCTCAGAAGACTTATAAACCGAACAGAAAGTTGGTTATATGTGCTAGCGCGTGGTGCAGGTCCCACCCTTCAAGCATACTCCCCAGGTGATAATTATTTTGCAGTCCCCTTTCACGGGCTATCGTTTCAAGTTGTTTGACTCTGATTCGGGTTGCGTTATCCAATGCAGTGCTTGATCGGTGGTTGAAGTTTCCCTGGAAAGCCAACCTTGCACCTGGCAGTATGGTAGGAGTGGGTGAGCATCTGGTTGTTGTTGGTGGGCGAGCTTCTGATCGCATCAACCCAAACACTGGAGAACCTGAGCACCCCAACTTCACTTCACAGGTAAGGACACTACTCACTGCATGTTTCTTAGTCTTCTGTTGTGGTGGTTGTAGTCTTGTTAAAATCCCTTGTAACATATGCCACTATTGCCAGGTGAGGCTCTTCAATGCGAGGACTCTGGCATGGTTTGATGGTCCACCAGTACCACAGACCTTTCCATGCCTATGCTCCTGGAGTGATGGCAACAGGGCTTTCATTGGGGCGTTAACTCCAGGCAATTTTCATGTTCTGGCTTCTTCTGAGGTTCCTGGTGAAGATGTGCAAGAAGCGGTCGTTCCTGTTGATTCAAACTGCAGGGTATTGCCCTGTAGTAAAGATTCGAGCTGCACAACCAACTTGAGAGATCAAGCGAGCCTATGTAATCAGAAGGGCACTGTGCTTAGGAACTGGAGGATAATTTCAGAAGGCCCAGTTGACATGCATGATGGCGAAGTTCGACAAACATGTAAAATTTTTTAAATACAATTTTCAAATTTTAAAGATTATGACAAGACTTGTAAAGGATTATGCAGTAAGGAGTCATCTGCTCCTTATCTCGTGGCAGGTCCACAGACCTGCCACCTAGTCGAATCATTTCTAGATCTGAATCTAGAACAGCACACCTAGGGAACTTTTCCACCCTCCTAGACTAACTCGCCCGCCATTGCTGCTACCTCGTACATGACGAGAACTTCGTACATGCTGCTTCTACGAATGAAGCGATATCTGCTGGAAGTTTCTGCAATTGCAAGTACAAAAATCGTTTTTTGTATGGCAAAATCATAATATACACTGCTGATACATCTACGTGCAACATACTGCGCGGAACATATTGCCGCTGCTTCTACCAGTGGCGATCTTCCTCGATACTGCTACATAGGAGGTGTTCGTTTCGGCGGCTGCGGTCGTTGCGACCTCTTGGAGCTGGCGATGCTGCTGCAGCGACTATGACTGCTGCTGCTGCCGGGACGGTTGCTGCTGCTATGAGACGAGCCGCTGCTGCTTACGCTGCGCATGGCGAGACAACGGCTGCTGCTGTTGCGGTTGGAACAAACTCACGGTGGCATGTGGCAAGACCGCTGCAGTTGCGGGTGTCCTATCGCTACTGCTATCCTGTTATCTGCTGCTGATGCATGATCGCTACTGCTGCTGCGCACGAATCTTGCTGGAGCTGCGAGATCGCCGCTGCTGCTGCTGCTGTGCGATCAATGTTGCCGCTGCTGTGCGCTGTTGCTGCTACTGTGCGATTGCTGCTGCTGCTACTTCGCGATCGCTGCTGCTGTGCGATCGCCGCTGCTGTGCGATCGCTGCTGCTGCTGCTGCTGCCGCGCAATCGCTGCTGCTCCTGCTTCGCGATCGCTGCTGCTGTGCGATCGCCACCGCTGTGCGATCGCTGCTGCTGCGGCTGCCGCGCGATCGCTGTTCCTGTGCGGTCGCTTCTGCTGCTGCGCGATCGCTTCTGCTACGGCTGCCCGATCGCCGCTGCTACTTCGCGTTCGCTGCAGCTACTCCGTGATTGCTGCTGCTGGGCACGATCTGCGCTGCTGGCGCGCGATCGCCTTTGCTGGCCTGCGATCGCCATTGCTGGTGCACGATCGCCGCTGCTAGCGTGCGGTCGCTGCTGCTGCCTCAATAGCGCATCTGCTGTGGCGTGTTTTGCTGGTGCTATCGAGATCGAGATGGTGCTGCTCTGCCTGTCGACACAGCAGCTACCACAGCTATGAGGGACGAGAAGTTGCCCTCGCTGCTATGTGCAAACTGAAATTGCAGTTACTGGTGTAACTCTTGATTTGGTGTTAAAAGATTGTGGTGGCCTATAAGATTATGGCCTTAAAAAAAAAAAAAAAAAAAAAAGACAAGGCCCAAAGAAGATTATGATTCAGTGTAAGGGCCAGGGCATGACACTTGCAGTATTGTGTCGTGCAGCATAAGAGGCCGTCCGCGTGCATCATTATGTCTGAATTAATATGCGGTATGCCGGATTTGTACGCCTCATAATAATTAGTAACGCGTTCTTCCCCTATTATGGGATGTGAAGCACTTAACACGCTTCTACCGTACCTTCTATTGGGACGCACACCCGTTTCAATTACGGCGATGGATTTTTCTGCTGGCTAAATCGCAAACTTGCAATGGTTGGACAATAGTGTCGACTTTGTTATCGAGCATATGCGTACTTACGCTGAAAACTGGTGATATCACCGTGCATCCAAAAAAGAAAAGAAAAAAAAAAAAAACAACGGGTACCCTGAGGGCCGTGATAATGAGGCATTTCCAAAGTAATTTTGCCATCTACGGTACCATATCTCTCAATTATTCGGCGCCTTAATGCAGAAATTGCCAAAACTACGTGGTCGAGTTCAATTCAACCCTTGCTGCCATTTCAACATTATGATGTGTTTTTCCGTAAATGGTAACACTCCCTTCCTAAGCTATCGCTCGGACGTACCACCACTCCTCATAATTATGGCGCTGAAGTGATTCGGCTGACTGTGACGCAAACGCGCACATCGTTTACGCAATTGTCGAGTACTTGTTATCATTCAGTTGGCGCTATACAGAAAGTTGTCGACTCAAAAAAAAAAAAAAAAAAAAAAAAAAAAAAAAAAAAAACTATTCTCATCGCCTTGAGACCTATCGTAAACGCGTCATCATTGTCGAACTTTCAACGTTTTTATGTTCAATCCCTGATTTTCAGCGTTCGGTTTTAGCAAGGTCTGCATTTCGGAGCAATTTCCAGTATACGACATAGTCTTTCGCGGTATGACAAGCCATGCCAGCGTCTTGGTGTGACCATATCCATGTGCTAATTGAAGGCTCTTGTTGGGAGCCACAAGCCGTTTTTTTTTTACAGCACGCTTGGATACATGCACAAGGATCCTCTTACATTCACATATCATACATGAACATTCATTGTAGAAAAACCCACCAGGACATGAAAGTCCATGTGGATAGCGCACACATACTTGATTTCTTCGGACTCGTTGTGACGTGTATACCCCATTTGGATTGACCATTTCACAGCCCCTCACCTTGAAGTCTTTCGTCTTTTTATGAAGTCACACCACCAAAAGGGGAAGGATATCGATCTGGCGTGCGATCTGTCAACATCATTGCACTTTTGTTAACACAAACTCGTGTCTTGAGCATGCACGTTACGAGCATAATGCTGGAGGATGGATTGGAAATATTTGGTTGGTTGTCGCTTCTATGCGCACATCTAACCTTATAGCTGATGTGATTCGGACCTTTTGGTCTATACAAAAGGTGGATCTCGTCGAGAGGCGGGTTGCTTGCCCTCACACACCCACTTCACTGATGATATTCCATGTCGTAATGGCTCACGTTTCATAAAATTTCCCATATCGTATAGCATGGTTTTTCCATTGCGTACTAACCGTTGGTTCCCCTTTTCATGGCTCCTGCATCTATTGAACCTTGAACACATAGTGCTACCGTATTTACAGAGGCGCTAAATGAGAAAAGGAGAAAGCGAATGGATGAACTATGAATGAAGTGAGTACATATAGGAAACCCTAATTGGGTTGTACCCCCTATGGGATACCCCACTATAGCCTACACAACAGCATAAGCTATATGTATGTTCTGACACACCCCCATAGGCAAAGTGGGGGAGAACAAGGGGTCACAAGACCAGTCACACAAAGCACAGCAAGCTCAGGGTGGATCACAAAGTCACCACACAGTCCGAGCACAACGACAAGGCCACAAGGCCAGTTCACATGCAGGAGTGCACACATATATATATAGAGCTAGACAAGCAAGAGCAGGTATATATATGTGACAGTACAAGCAAGGTCAAGAGGAGAGCAAGTGAGGCAAGACAGGTACAAGACCCAGCTGAGTGCAGAAGCGCTGATGGTCACAAGGCGCAAGTGCCTTGGTGAACACATCAGCAGTGTTGGCCTGAGAGGCCACGTACGCAAGTCGCAACTGACCACGCTGCTGCAGCTCACGAGCAAGAAAGTAACGGAGAGCAATGTGCTTCGTTCTGTGCTCCAAGCGCTGCTCTCGACACAAGGCCAGCATGGCCTTGTTGTCTACGTACAGCACTGGAGGAGAACGAGGCGGCTCTCCAAGGTCAGTCAGCAGGTAGGTGAGCCAGCGAAGCTCCTGTGCAGCCATGGCCCCGGCGTAGATCTCAGCCTCACAACTGGAGCCGAGAACAGAGGACGAGCGTGTAGCCCGCCACGAGACAGAGCCGGAACCAAGACTGAAGGTGTAACCCTGCGACGACCGCTGCGTAGCCTGGTCGTCAGCCCAAGAAGCGTCCGCGTGCCCAGTGAGGACCACTGGACTCCGCCCTCCAAGCACTAGCCCCATGCCCGACGTACTGCACAAGTAGCGCAACACCCTCTTCGCTGCAGCCATGTGCTCTGGTCGGTGTCTCCCAAGAGCAACATAGCGTGCAAGAATGCTAAGAGGGTATGCAAGGTCAGGTCGTGTGCAGGTCATCAGGTACATGAGGCAACCAACAAGCTCTGGGTACGGGCCACTCGACTCTACGGACTCATCCGAAGGCAGAGCTGAGAGCGAGTGGCGAGTAGACAGAGGAGTGGCCTGAGGCGAGGAGTACGTGAAGCCGAAGCGCTGAAGGACCTGCTGCACCATGTGTGACTGAGTCAAGGTAATGGTGCGGCGTGCTCTGTCCCGAGTGATCTGCAAGCCAAGGTAGCTGCGCAGTTCACCCAGGTCTGTGCACGTGTGTCTCTTCTGCAGCTCGGACTTCACGTAGGCTAGTCCAGCAGTGTCAGCTGTGGCAAAGACCAAGTCGTCGACGTACACGAGGATGTAGAACGGCGGCAAAGAAGTGTCGGTGCGCAGAAACAACGACGGGTCAGCAGTAGAGGGAGCAAACCCAAGAGCCGCAAGCGTAGTCCTCAGTGTGTCGTGCCACTCACGCGGTGCCTGGCGGAGACCGTAGACTGGCCGTCGGAGGCTCCACTGGGTACCAGGAGGGAAAGTCCCAGTGAAGCCAGGTGGACGGCGCAGCCAGATCT